TATATATATACTGTATATATATGTATATATATATGTGGGGTTGGGGGGGGACCAGTGGCTCAGGTGGTAGAGCTGATACCTCAGCAGGAAGGTCACCAGTTCAAATCCCGGCCCGGGGACCTTTCTGGGTACAGTTTCATGTTCTCTCCATGCGTGGGTTCCCTCCGGACACTCCGGCTTCCTCCCACAGAACATTATTAATCATATTATTATTTATTTTCTGGTTTCTGGAAACCAATAAATGTTTACGTTAAGGCACCTCTGCGACTGTCAGACTTTTTCTGTTACAAACAAAGAAAGGAAAAATGATGTGTCCCTCACAGAAAACCGTTTGGGGACTCCTGCTTTAGAGTGATTTAAAYTGGTCATGTGATYAGGACATGCAGGCATGCAGGGACTCCAGGGGGGTTAATTGTCATATTAATTGTTACCGGCTAAAAGTACCACAGTTAATCATTATTAATATTTTTTGGCCAATATGATGTAACCTTAATATGAAGCGACACTGTTAAAATGAATCACACCTCAGAAAACTGCCTGACAACACATTTTGCTCAAACTGAATGATGTCTGMCAGACTGACCAGTGAACCAGGCGTTACCAGTGGCTGAGAGCTGCTGGCTGAGCTGGGCAGATCCCGCCTCCTGGGGGGGTTGGTRGTGCTGTCCCACTGACAGCAGGTGCACGCAGGAGGGGGTGTGAAGTAGGCACTGCCCACGCAGCGCACAATTCAAACWATTTGTTCGTCAAGCTTTTGCTAAAGAGTACTGCTGCACGTTGTTTTGGAGAAAACTGTAACAACTTAAACACCTCCACCTCTGGGAACATTTACAAAGACAAATACTGTTCACAAGCATTTCCCAAACCTTTTGTCTTCCATGGCTTGTCAAGAAAAAATAATTCTTTGTATTCATGCTTCATGAAATGAAGAACAAACGAATCAGAAGAGAAATACAAAMAGTATAAAAACAAGCTAGTATGGATTATAAGAAAGCATAAGAAAGAATACTACAGTGATTTGTTAAATAAAAGTAAAAGTGATATGAAGGCAACATGGAGAGTAATGAATAGTGTTGAAAAATAAAACAAAATCAAGCTTTTCACAATACATTGTTGAGGATGACACTGAAATTTATGATCAAAATARAATTATAAATAGATTTAATAATTATTTTGTGAACGTTGGACCAAGTCTTGCAGCTAAAATACCAAACGTTGATAATAATTTAAGTCATACAGTCATGAGTTTTACCAACAG